CTTCGAAGCACTACTCATGATATTCGTTTCAGCCCTAGTTTAAACATTCTATATTTATTAGAACTTTGAAGCCAAACCATTACACCCTTAATACATGCTGTGGAAAAGGGAGGACTTATTAGTAGATTAAACCAACCACAGAAATTTTGTAGCTGTTGCTCATAACACTATGGTAATATTTATGAATTTGAAAATTTTCAGTTGGAACGTTTGTAAACTCGCTGATAATTACATTTGGTAAAAAAGGATGTAACTTAACTAGTGAGTAGTTGGCATATTTGGACACAACTTCACTAAAGAAATTCTGTCAGCTGCCCAATTTTTTTTTTTAGTTAGCATAACTAATTAATATCTCTACAGCTTCTCAATTGTGGTGACAATTTATTTAGTAATGGCTAGCAATGGGTGTGGAAAAACTGTAATTGTGATAAATATCAGTATCTCATCAAATTGAGTTAATATAAAGGTAATAAAACTTGAAATGGAGGAAGGAAAAATATAAATATTTTGATATCAAATTAATGTTTTAATAAATATATGGTGTTCTCAGGTTAAACTGATTTCCATAGAGTAGTAAGTAGGTATTTAAAATTGAGAGATTAGACAGATAAATCAGAAAGTGATACTAAACTGAAGCTAAGAAATAAAAATGCTGGACATTATGTGTAACAAAATGAGAACAATATTTATAAAAGACAAAACTGTGCATGCTTGCCTTTTACTGGACTCTTGGAGTGATCAACAGATATTCTTCCCTCAACAAACTGTAGGACAGCCTTTGTAGACAGTATACACCCAAAGTTTCTTACTTAACAGGAAACATCCAATTCATTCTCATTGAACGTGGGATACTATATCCTCTCATCTTCCAGTGAAGGACACTGCTGTCATCTATATTTTTGGTGCAGTGTTACAGCTAATCACCCATGGGTGGAACAGGTATTATCTTTAGAGAGCAACAGATATTTACATTAAAATAAGATGGTAGAAAATGCATAGTACACCTGCATACCACACTTTTGCCTCTCTCTCTCTGTTTCAACTTTTCCTCAAGCAGACAATTAAACATAAAACCAATTAACCTTCCACTTGTGACATGGTCAAGAAGTACATAAATTTCATCCCTGCAAATATTTACACACAATATGGACGACACAACCCTTAAACAAAGAACTACAACTTAAAAGACCCTTTACATAGATTTAAAAATGTAACACATTAAAACAAATAATGAAATAACATTTTACAACAATACATAACACAAAAGATTGCAAATATACACATAAACAAAAATGCCCTTCTTCATAGAAAATTACATATATACAGAAAAATAACTTTAATAATGATTATTATGTTTAAATTAATTAGAAATGAAATCCCTTAACCCAATATGCAGGGGGCGGGGGCGAGTATGTTGAATTGACCCTGTATTGGAGAAAGAATGGTGGCTATAATTCCAAATTTACTACATGTATCTATAAAACAATGTGGTTAACTTTGAGAAAAATGTACAAGTCTGTTGTACACAGAAAATAAGATGTGTTACAAAAGTATTTGTACTCAAAATATCTCTGTCAACAGACAGTCAGTCTTATTCAGACTCAAACAAGTTGTAGTGCAAGGTGATGTTCATGTGAAGAATAAAAATACTTTTGTCCATATTGTATTTGCATAACTTCTAGAACCACTGAAATGCATATCTACAATTTTTTTTCAGTATCCCTGTATATTTTATCTGGTATTTACCATGAACTGGTGCTAAATCAGCAATGAAGAGTGCAATGAATACTTCAGAACTCTTGACATCAAATACAAAATACTATGCTTAATGGCACTCTGTAAAAGACTATGGCATGTAATAATGAATTACATATTAAGCCTAAACCTTTTCACAATGAAATACATGGAATTAAGCCCATCAATAAAGGTAAACATAGAAAAATGAAAACCTTTTAACAAAGTTAATAATTATAATTTAACATAACACAAGTAGCGAAAATTACTAAATGAACCATTTGACAATGAAAAAAAGTAAAAGAAAACTTGTTTCACAAGAAAATATCAAAATGCACAAAACTCCATTTAAAATACAACAAAATGGGCCCTTCAAAGGTACATACAAATCACAAAAAACAACAGTAAATCCCCCTTTCATTTGAACAGAAGTGAAACACAATCAAAATACAAACTAAACAAGTTACACACAAAAAAAAATTAGGTTAATAATGAAAGCGATAAAAATACATCCTGAAATTAGTTCAATGATAGAATTAAAATATTAGGTAAAGGCAAAACATACCTATAAATCAGGGAGGGATAAATTTACAACTCAACCAGAGTCAGCACATGGCTCCATTCTCCATCACCTTAGCTTCACCAGTGTTATGATTAGCCTGTGTGGTGGTTTTGAAAACATCTTTGGCTTTGGCCCTTCTGATATCCATTGTAGAGAGTCCAAGCCTCAGTCCTGTTGGTGGCCATCTTCTGACAGTGTTATTTGTATACTCAAATCTGCTCTAGTGGGAGGGGTAGATTGTTAAAACTTACGTAGTTTGGTTTGGAGCTCCACTCTTGATAGTATCTGGGCTTGTTCCCAACATCTTTTGATATTGCCTCATGGGATTTGAAGGCAAAAAAGGTTAACCTACAATCAGATTTTTTGTTAATTTCATGAGTCATTTTTTAATTTATTTTAAGTTTCTCTTTTGATATCAGTACCACATTTTCTTCACTGAATTAATTTGACCTCCATTGGACACATCAGTCATTGAGAGAACACTATCAATACTGACCTCATTTACTCTGAAGGAGCTAGCTGGGTTTATACCATCAATGAAGGGGTGTCAGTCTCAAAGCAGGACTTACCTCCATCCAGAGAAGGGAGGGATACTTCTTAATCTGGTGTAGGAAGAATAACAGCTATTTGTGAATTAGGAAAGTTTTCCTCAAAGTTGGGCAACAAATCATTGTTCACTGATCTCATACAGAAATAAGCCTGTAATTGAGAGTTTTTGTCATAAAGAATATTGTATAGAATTTACAGCTTATAGGCCAAAAAGCACATAAAATTAAAAGATTTTTCTTTCACCAATTCTTTTGTTTCGAGATGCCACTGAATTATTACTTGAGAATGTAGTCATAACTGCCTGTGTTCAAATGGAGGATATGAAACTGTGAAACTATGTATCTACACTATGGGCATAAAAATACTATTGTAATAATTTAGACATTTAAAAGCTACAATAAAATTTTGTGATTTTTTAATTTTAATAAATCTTAACTATTTCTGTGCAGGATAAACCACTGTATGACCAAGTTGGTTAAGGTAAAAACAGTTACACAAATTATAGTACAAACTTAGCAAGTGTTACCACAGTTATTGTTCTTGTGATACATGTAGCTTAAGAACTACAATAATGATAATGTCTTAGCTATGATTTTAAAGTTATTTTCGTTTTATTTTTTGTTCTGTCCTCTGCAAGTGTGATACTTTTTATTGACCAGGAAATTACTAGGGTTAATCAACAAAAACAAAACTACATGTTTAGCTACATGAGAAATGTTCATACACAAGTGTTATATATATATATAAAACTATTGATATATTATGAGCCTAACACAACATAACACTGTTCCCCATTTTTTTTATACTTTGTGAAAACAAAACAAAGACTTTATACAAAATTTATTCCTTATAATATGAACATTACATATTGAAAAATGAGAAATAAGTTTCAGACATGTTGAAGAATAATTGTTTTTACATTTGTTATAGGTGCTTAAAAATTACATCATTTGATTTTTTAACTTTGACCAAATTCATGAACCTATACACAAAATTTCTATTCATACTATGATTCACCAATTACCTTTTTCATTTAGTGAAGAGGTTAAACTAATATTTTGATTATAACATATTCATTTTCAATAACTGATACCTAGAACTGAGGAATTTAAGGAGTACAAAATGCCCTTTTAATTTCTTATCATGAGTTCATCTTAATTTTATATTTACCTTCCAAAAGGTACAATCTCCCAAGATTAAAAAACAAATATAATACAAAATGACTAATGAGTAACTTAGAACAGTAAATATAGTATTGATTACAAATATTTGTAGCTTCTGTTTCATCTAAAATTATAAACTTATATTTTAATAGTTGTAATACTTTAACCATTTCAATATGAGTATTCTAAAAGGCACCTACCTGGAACCCCTCAGTGTCTGAATCAAAATGGTATTGAATCACCCTAGCTCAAACTTATGTTAACAATTTCTAAAGCATTCATAAAAATATTAATACAATACCACAACAATGATAACTGTTTTAAAGAAACAATCAATTTTGATCATTTCAGATATTTGATTTCTAAACACATTGAATACTGCATGATACACTTTGAAGGAGCTACTACTTAATGAGAAGAAAAAAAAAGACTGAAACTGAATATGTTGTCATAGATACCAAAAATATGGTCTGTTTGGATAAAACTACTTTTCACAAAACCATCAATTTTAAAAGTTAGGCTATGATATTCACAGCAACATCTTTTGACCACTATTAGAAAAAAAAAAGGCAATTGCTAGATAAACAAGTCTACAGCAGCAGTTCATTTTATTACTCCTGTAAGCATAAAAACTAATCTATTAATTATATTAATTAATTGAAGTCTGATATATCTCATGCATACACTTATGACATCATCACACCTGTTGTTCCACACAAAAGTGAATAAACAACATTGATGATACAAAATTAAAATTACAGCAGGCATCAAACATAGAAATAAAAAAATGTACAAGATATACATGAATTTATGATTTCTATGTTAACAAACTGAAAATTACTTTTAGGGTTAAATTTTCCTATTTATTTAAGTTTAAGAAAAAAGAATCGTTTTTTAAATATTACCTCAGAATTTACTGTAATATACTGGCTATGACCTTTCAAGTATGTTTTACTAAACAAAATATACTTCAAATGAAAATAATGTGTATATGGAACTGTTGTATCATCCATCCCGTCTAAAATGTTTGCAGCGAGTTGTAGGACTGCATCTGTTTGAAGTTTAAAGTTTTGGCTTCTGCGTTGATAAAGTTTGTTTGAATTTATGCACAAAGCTACACAATGGGCTATCTGTGCTCTGCCCACCACGGGTATCAAAACTCGGTTTCTAGCATTGTAAGTCCGCAGACATACCGCTGTGCCACTGGGGGCACCCGCGTTGATAAAGAGCATCATACTTAGATGCTTCGACCTGATGAGGGTCACAGCATGGAGACGAAAACATGATACAGTCCAGAAAAAATTTAACTTCACTACAACCTACTCTGCCTAAAAATTCCTCTAAATCAAGTCTTTCTCAGTATAAGCATTTTTATTACTTATAAAAAACAAAAGACAATTTATGATTTTTCACTTCTCAAAATAAAGTTATATTAATATTGTGCTTTTATTACAGTTCATAAAGAGATAATTCTTATTAATTCTTTTGATACAATATTACCAAAACTGTTGAGTAATACAAACCTAAAGATAACCATTATTTTATAACTATAATGTATCACAAGATATAAAAGGATATTATTAAACCATGTCCCCATTATTTATAGCAAATTGTTGAAGAGCCTATAATGCAGACTATTATTATTACAAATTTCATCAAACAAACATTCCCTCTTAAGTCGCATACAATTCTCTTAAAACAGGAATGATGATTCAAACACTTTTTTTTCCCTATTTTCTTCTACAACTTAGCTTGAGGAGAAATCAGGTTTTGCAACTTTTCTGCCAAAGCTACATTTCCACTAACTTTCAGTTTTCTAGCCATTATTGCCTATAATGACAAAAACAAGAGATAAGTTTTTATTATACTTCTTGCTCAATTTATGAGTTTATAAACTTTCATCCAAGCAACATATAAATGAAAAATGTGTTTGAGAAAAATCCATCAATAAAAACTTGTGTAAAAAAATTAGTGTTTTTTTTTTTCAAAAACAGAATTTTTATAAATTTTACCTCTTGAAGATTTTCACTTGTAATTAGAATCTCTGGTATAGGTACAAAATTGCAAGTGTTACAAAATGTACTAGATGATGGCCCAATACTTCTTTATACATACACAGTGATTTGTTTTAAACTGTAAATTTATTGTGTTTGACAAAGAAACAAAATTACTGATTTTGTTATCAATCTTTCAAGGGTTGCAAGCATACAACTTACATGATACATTAAAAATGATATGAAATGTTAATTTTATTGAATAAACAAATCTATTTAGAGATTTAGTTTGCATTCAAAATTGAAAGACAATTCTTCACAAGTAGCAAATCATACAAGCTTTTAAGCTACATGGACCTTGCATAGATTAAAGTCTGATATTTATTTGTTAAAATTAAAAACTTACAATATTAAAAGTTGGATAAATCCTCAATGTTTATTTTCTTGTCAAAATTATTTATTAAAATATAAGAAACTGTTCATTTCTTCATGTTGAAATCCTTGGAAAATTGGCATGACAGAAATTTGAGATGAATTCGTTTTAATTTCTTGATATTCCTCAGTTAAGTTATCTTTCAACTACAGAAATAACAGACTCTTAAAATTAAAACTGAAATATTTGAAATAAACTTGTTATTGAAAATGTTTTATATTAATGTCTTTGGTGAATGGGACCAACATACATAATGAAATAAATTTCTGTTTATGGATTTTTGGATATTTTTTAAGGGTTGTATAGTTTGGTTTTAAAACCATTACAGGGTGGGAAAAATATGATATAAAGCCAAAAAAATCATTGTAAATTTTCCATGACAGAGCATAAAATAGACCTAGTGTAAAATGAGTTTTTTTTTTGTAAATATAATAATGGTAACTACAGCTTAATAACCACACATTCAGAACAGTTTAGAATTAGAAAATAAGTAAAATCTAACCTTTTTTGGATCCATTCCACCTGTAACTATCTCAGTTAAATCACTGTCTTCTAAGGTTAATGTACAATCAGCTTTTCCAGTTTTGGGTGCTCCTCTATATATAGCTCCTATACCAGTCTTTAAATCAGTAGCTAAAAATAAAACATTATACTTTGATACATCTGCATAAACTATCATTACTACAATAATACGCACAACCTTACTTACAATATTTATAATTTCTATATTATTCACAAAATGAATTTCCTCAAAAGTACTGCATAAACTATCATTACTACAATAATACACACAACCTTACTTACAATATTTATAATTTCTATATTATTCACAAAATGAGTTTCCTCAAAAGTACTGCATAAACTATCATTACTACAATAATACACACAACCTTACTTACAATATTTATAATTTCTATATTATTCACAAAATGAATTTCCTCAAAAGTTACTGCATAAACTATCATTACTACAATAATACACACATCCTTACTTACAATATTTAATTTATATATCAATCACAAAATTAGTTTCCTCAAAAGTTATAAACATTCTGCTATTTATTTCTCTTTAAAGAAAATAAATCTATGTAAATAATTCACTATACAAATTCAGTAATAGTGGTTTGTTTGTTTGAAGTTAAGCACAAAGCTACACAATGGGCTATCTGTGCTCTGCCCACCATGGGTATTGAAACACGGTTTCTAGCATTGTAAGTCCGCTGCGGACATACCACTGTGCCACGGTAGGGGGGGGCAGTAATAGTGGTCGCTTTCTATCAATAATTTCTGTTATTAAATACAAACAAAATGGATTAAAAATGGGTGAATACAACTTTGAAAAAACATAATTTGTCAAACACAGAACACTTGGTAGTAAAAATGTATGGGTGTGGAAGGGGAGGTGATGTTGTATCACAGTAAAACTATTGGTTAAATCACATAGTTCTTTGCTAGCCCAATATGGATTTTCAGTTATAAGTGTGTGTATATACACTGCAATTTCAATTCAATATCAGATGAGACATGCTATGCATTAAGATTTGTTGTTTCATGAATTACGAAGTAAACAGAATTTCAATTACAACTCTGCACCTTCAAACACAGACAGCTTGATAAAGGCCTTTTTAGCAGCAGCATACGATAAACAAAGTATAATTGAAATATTAATACATAAACATTTCTTACAAGAAACTCCAATCGGATCAGTAGAAAATTGTGTGGTTTAAATTTTGAATCAGTATTACTGTAATGTGATATCACACACAGTTATTAATACAGTTTTGGTTTATTGTAACTTATCGAAATAATTATGCTTGACAGCACATAATAACATTAATAAATCTCTGTTGAATATTTTGATAACTAAATAAACTGGTTTGGAGAGAATGCTTTAAGAAGATACTGAACCTCTGTTCACTTACTTTTATGTTTTAAACTAAAATGCTTAAAAAATGGAAGTTATAATCTGTATTAACAGACTGGAACACGTTTATATATAAATATATATCACTCTAAAAAGCTAAAACCCATAAAAAACAAACAAAAAAACTTATACATTAAGTTAAAGCATCTGTCAAGACCTTATTCAAATGTATTATGACAAAAGATGCACTATAATTATACTGTCACTAGAAAATCATCTTTAACTCTATTACATTGTTTCCTAACACATTATTTATGCCAACTTACATAAATTCCACAGACATAGAAGAAAAACATAAAACAATGTGAGAACAAATTCTGTGATCAACCACTAAGTATTAACACAACTGCTTACTCCACTGGGCTGTTGGCGATCCATTCTTCAAGATGTTCCACTCATACACTGCTTGTGTCTTAGTAACAATGGCTGGAGTTCTTCCAACTCTTTTGGCAAAATCGAGGAAGATGTAATCACTCCTGATGTCTGTACGAAGAGGCTATTACACATACATAAAATGTTATCATGCATAAAACACTAACTAATTAATATAATAAATTCAGCCTACCATTAATCTACCACAATGTTTGCTTCTATCAATTGCAAAAAACACTGGAAGTACAAGTTTAACCTAATAATTAATACCTTTACATGCTTTTCTATGAATTTACTCCAGTTATAAATAACACAAAAAACATATAAATGATCTTTATTCGCTATAACAAAATTCTGAATAGGAAGCACAAAGAATTAGTTTCATAAAACTCACAGCTTTGTGGGAACTGTAATCTGTGATACAGACAAGTAAATATATACCCTAAACAAACGTGACAATAAACATGCTCATAGATATTAACATTATGTTTCAAAATACCACTTTTAATTCTGTCTTGATTTCTAAGTTCTTACTTTTTCCCGATAAAATTGGAGCAACAAGTAGCAATTCAATGGTACATCCAGATTTTGTGATTACCAACTTGTTCAATTCAATATCTTCTCCTCTGATAAAACTGGGACAAGTGGCAATTTAATCGTACAACAGGATTTAAAGATTTCAAACTTGTGCAACGTAATCATTTCTTACCTTTTCCTCCGATAAAATGGGGGCAACAAGTGGCAATTCAACAGCACGCCCAGATTTCATAATTTCCTGCCAGAGCTTATTCATTCTTTGTGTCAGCATTATATTTCCTCGCAACTTTAATTTTCCTGTCATAAAAGCCTAAACAAAGAGCAGAAACTACCCGTCATTATTTTCAAATTGATTAGCTTGAAACAAAACATTAGTTTTACATCAAAGTTGCTCATAATTATTATATAATAAATAAATATTGACTTGTGAACGGAGCTACATACTTAGGTCAAAAAGTAAAAATCAACTTTTTACTTGTTTACGTTATACTGAAATGTTTCATATCTTACCTGTAATACTTTTTTTAATGTGTACGAGCAAAGTCAATGGTGCTTGTGTTTACGAATACTTCACAACACAATAAGCAAATATTTCTTAGGTCTTTTTGGTTTCTCTTAACCATTCTATTTCGAAAAGATTATTATTCTGCATAGAACATGTATGATGATGGATTTAAAATCTCTTTCTAAACCTTGTTTTGTGCTTCGGGATGAATATTATTATAATCATCATATTCTTAAAAGAAAATTGTATTGTAACTATATTTGAGAAGCAGCTAATCTTTTATCATTTTACTTCTCAAAAATTTCATAAAACCTGGAAAGAATCTTCCATTTAACTTGGAGTCTTTTGTTACACAACCTGTTACTGGTTTTGCTAGTAACATTAATAGCATGTTGCAGAAATGTGTAAAATATGACACATACCTATTAATACCAACATAAAAAGTGGTATCTACTGTTACAATGCTTGAAACTAAGAGTAAAACAAAACCTATATTTAAAACTGATTACAAGGAAGTAATGGCTGGAGTCCAATGGCCCAGTGTTAGGCTAATTGAACAAAATATAATGACAAACAGAAAAGTAACAAGCTTACTCAGCCATATTGTGACTCTTACAACTAAAAATTATGGAAATATTAAATTATCCAAGTTACATAGAAATGGGACCTGGTTGGTAAAGAATTTTTTTATTGCTTTTTTGGTGCTTTATGCATTGCTTTTCCTGTATTAAAAAAAAGCAACAGATTTGTGCAAAAAAAAAGTGTGTTCAAACCCTAGAATTCCACATAAGGTATGTAACTTTATTTCATGTTTTTCCAAACTTTGAAAAGGGATTCTTCACAAATTAATGCTACGATAGCTTTTTGGTAAAAAGATAATATGAATATGGCACAGTATTTCAGTAGCATGATATTAAGATTGCTGCACAAAATTTTATTAACATTATACTAAGATTAGAGTACAAAATGTTAATAGCATGATACAAACATGACAGTACAAATTTTAGTAGCATGATACAGTACAAAACTGTAGTAGAATGACACTAATATTAAAACATTTGAGTAACTTGATACTGTAAAAAGACAGCAGAATACTAGCATTACAGCAAAGTATTTGAGTTTAACCAAAAACTTTCAAAATATTAACACGTCTGCAAAATTACTACTTTTACATATAAAAACGATATTGAGCATGAACTACTAATTAATTACATCTTCACATTAATCGCAAGTTATAAGAACATTGAGGAGATTCTCATAAAAGTTTTAATAACAGATATATTTTGAAAGTCTGACATGCTTTACACTTAAATCAAATATCTCCCTTACTGCAAAAAAATCAATGCTGTAGGTCTTAAGTTTAAGCTACTAGTAACTGCCAATAATGTACATGCTTATAGTTTCACTGCCAAGTGTTTGGTCTAAACAGACCATTTTAGGTGTCAAACAGAGATATTTTATCCTCCTCAACACAAAAGTTTTATAATCACAATCCTTACATTTACAAATACTAATGGTTACACCCTCTCACGAATATGTAATTACCCTTTGGGGATTCATCTTTCCTAACATGAGCTTTATCAAGTCTTCATCTTCTAGTGTGATGGAACAGTCTGGTTTCTGTTTTGGAGGTCCTCTATATATAAGACCTTTTGGTGTCTTCAAGTCAACAGCTGAAATGATTTAGACATCATTTCAAAAATTAAACATAACTAATTCTCTGTATTACTTACTTGTATGGACTTTAACAAAATGTGCAGAGAACAGATTAATTACTCTATTTAGCTCTATTAATGGTTTTATTGAATGGTTATAAGACTTTCACAGTTATTAATGAATATTCAGTTTAAAGTAATCACACATTAAAAATTTCTAATGTCAAAGATAGAACGAAACTATTAATTTGAAGCAAATTCTTCCATTAAATTTCTCTATAGATCTGGACAGCTCATGAATAGCAAAAAATTTTCTATGACTCTTTCACAAATGAGGGACATAGATCACTGTTCTAGTATGGTTCAGTAAAATCTACTAGTGCTCTTATATATGTGTACTGTTTTGTTTGTTCAAAGACAGCTTAGGATTATTATTTTATCGGTAATTTTACAATAAAAGTATATATATATGTTTTGTCTTTACTGCAGCCAACCTCGATATCTCTTGAGACTCACAATTTCAGAATCTCTGGGTTAAGTTACTTATAAGTTGCAGTTTCTTTCCAGGTGAAAATAAGTCTTTCATACTCACTCCATTCTTCTGCTTTCTTCCCTTGTTTCAATATTATCCAATGAAAAACAACCTTCATTTTTTTAGCTAGTTCTGGTTCTTCTGGGATACGTTCAGCAAAAATTTTGAAAATAAGTTCACTTTTCAAGCCCAACAGAGGCTGAAAAGAAGCATAAAAAAAGTAAACATTACATGTACTTATACTTCTAACAAAATTAAAATCAATTGATATTATTGAGTTACAGAATGTGAATGACTAGGTCATGGTAAGAAAGCTTAGTGTGAAGTTATATATTAATCATTATCACTGCATTATAGAAACACATTTAAGCATGTTTTTGCATTGCTTTGTTTATTGTGTCCAGTACATTATACATTATTCAGCTTGCCACTAAAGTAAACATACAAGCTCAAATGTAAAAATACATATCAAATACTAGTTTGGCTACTAGAATAAGAAACTTGGCTAATGTTTCCTATTGAAAAGCACCCTAATTTCTAAGACAATATTTAGCCCACTGTAAATTATACCAAGTCATTGCAGGTTAAGTACAAGGTTCTATTATATTCACTTTATTATCATATTACACGGAAGAAAAAAAAAGTAGATATAACAATACTTTAGTGAACCTTCATGACTCATAAAATTATCTTCCAGCAACACCAACAAAATAATGCTAATGAAACAGGCATATTTAAGTTTAAAAGGAATTTTCTATTTGTACAGTCATGTAAAAATTTGGATATATATATATATATATAATTAAGTTTAAAAAATTTCCATTTCAGGAGCAGAAACAAAGCATATTTAATGTACTTCAGGATTTAAAAACACCTTTAGATATTGCATATAACAACACACACTGAGCTTAATTATACAACAGAGTCAGTAAAGTGCAAACTCTATTTATACATTTATCACAGCAAAACACTATTAAACATAAAATATTTTTCATAATTCTTATATAATTGGTTTCCAAAAATGGTAAGCATACTATAATATATTAGTTTTTAGACTGGTATTTTTGTGACATATGTTGAAAATAACAAACATTTCACAAACTAATCAAGTAAAAGACACACGTTAAAGTTTATACAAGAACCAGTTTGAAATCTAAAACCTATAAAATGACTTACTTCTGTAAATTTAGTAGGCTTTGGTTTAGTTGTTTTTGGTTTCTCTCTCTCTTCATCTTTTTCCCACAAATCTTGTAGTTTCTGAGAAGCCATGATATCCCCAGAAATCTTCAACTTTCCAGTCATAAAGGCCTGAAATAAATAAAACTAAATGAAATGGGCACTTTCTTATGACTCTAGGTAAGTTAATCTGTACATGATGTTAGTTATCCATATTAACATAACAGAAATATTACTTTTAGAAAATAACTCAAAATTCAAACGACAGATGGTATATCTTAATCATCTGAATGGAAAAAAGATATACTTTTCATAAGGAATAGATCACATATTTTTTGAAAAATCCAAAGTAGTACCTATCTAAACAGTTAAAAAAAGGATAATGCTCTCTTTACAACAGACTTTGAAGAAACTTGGTTAACTTAAACAATGAGAAATATAATACTGAATCAATTTTTCCTTTATGACTAGTGTTTTTCAAAACACATTTAGATTTGAAATGATAAACAGTACTCAGGATTAGAGTTTTAGTTTTACTGTTAATCTTACTTTAATCTTTACTGATAAAATTATTATTTCAAGATGATAACAATCAAATAAAAAATATTCACTAAAAATGTGTATACAATTAATAATCAGATGAAATTTTCTTTAACTGTAAACCAAAAAAAAGTTCCTTTTATCATTAGAAGTGGACATAAAAACAACAACAACAAAAAAGTCTATACTAATAATTTTCCCTTAAAATCCCCAAATCTTAATAGCTAACCTTCTGTGGGTCTAATTTGCCTGCTACAAGTTTGTCAAGTATGTCATCATCCATTGTTAAGATGCAGTCAGCTTTTCCCTGTTTGGCTTCACCCTGGTACACAGAGCCATTCCCATGTTTTAAGTCAGTAACTATAACAAAATTGTAAAAAAATAATAATTGGAATATGGTAATGCTCCATGGTCAAGAACATATTTTGAATATTAGATCAGAATTTATGTTTTCAGTTTTGAAAATTAATGGTGAAAGCTCTAAAAGGAGCTCAAAATGTAATCTTGCAATCCAGAAAAACAGCAGAAATCCACATATCTCAGTTAATTTTCTGACATTTATTTTACAAGATGTTTAAAAAATCCTACAAAAAGTGAAAGATAAGTTTCATTATATTTTATAAACTTACTATCGATAAATTGAGCTACTACTGAGACTATGAAATTTCGAACCACATAGATCCTACGTACTAGAGATTCTCAAGTACAGTTTGCACCTAATTTCAAATGCTATGTATTTATTTCCTTGCATAGATCAATAAAATCTACATGAACAATTCAAGCTCCTTCTATCCACAGTGTTTTTAAGATATTCAGCTGAAGATGGTAAATAACAAAAAGGCAAGATGAAAAGATTTGAGGTAGTCAGAGACCAGAACAAATTTCTAAATTGTACATTTTAAAACAACCCAAAATCTTTCAGTACATACATATTTATTTTCCTTGAGCAATTGTTGCTATATACATACAATCTGGGACTTTGATTTGTGTATCCAATAATATAGTCTTGAATGAAAATACAAGTTAATTTATTTGATTCTACACCTCTGGTAAAATAAAGCTTTTAAAATACATATAACTCAGTTTGTGTGATTTACTCTATAAATGTTTTTCAGTCCATTTTTATTATTTTCACATGAAAAAAAACAACAACAAATGAAACCATGTACTTTTCTGAAAATAGTTTACTAACGCTTTCTCAGATTTAACTTATAAATAATTTACTGTCCTCCACCTAAATACACAGAATTTTACATATATATTTATAATAACACTTATTTTACAGTTGAAACACTTACTCCATCTTCCAACTTCCTGTCCATCTTTTGTGATATTCCACTGATACACTGTGTTGACTGAAGAAACTAAATCAGGGTTCTCACTTAGTTTACGAGCTACAGCTTCAAACACTGCTGTACTTTTCAACTGTGTGATAAAACAATGATTTGTATAAATTAACTCCAACCCTATAGAAACTTGTAACAAACATTCCAGAAAATACCAAAACTACGATACAGAAATAATAATGAATGAAACTGACAATTTTTTTAATGTTGGCTAAGGATTTCAAACATATTAACTATTGAGACACAAATGAAGTCAAATGAAGAAGTTGAGTTTGAAAATACCAACTTTTGACTTGCCACTGACAACTAGTGTTACTGATTGTTTGCTTATTTTTAGCACAAAGCTACACAGTGGACTATCTGTACTCTGTCCACTGCAAGGAGTCAAACCCAGGATTTTATACTTGTAAGTTTGTAAACTTAGTGCTGACACAGTACAGAACAGTGTCACTGAAGGAAAACAGCTCATGTAGTGTGTTTATACCACACTTTTGGAATTAGTTTACTATATAAAAGCACAGATATTCATTGATTTGCCAAGTTAAAGTTTTCATCTTCAATGAAAATGATGTAAAAGTTTTAGATATATTAATTTTAAAAACAACAAAAAATCTAATAAATTAAGCAACTCTAATTTCTTCTAGTCCAGCCGAACCATTGAAATGAAAGAACAGTTATCT